GCAATGTCACTGACCACTGCTGCTCCTGTTAGCGGCCTGGGGCAGCTGTTCTGTGGGATGCAGCGTCTGTGCTTGCTCTAGGAGGTTACCTCCCAGCAGCAGCTGAGTTCCTGTGTGTGTTATTAAACTGGGAATGGAACCTTGCATGTCAGCACATTGAAACCCTTCAGCTGTAAAAGTGCTTGTTGACCTTAATCATAATCACGTTGTGTTTTGACTCAGGCCGTTGTTCTTTCCACGTACCTGGAGATGGGAGCTGTGGAGCTCAGGGGCTGCTCTGCCGTGGAGCTGGGTGCTGGCACAGGGCTGGTGGGCATAGTGGCTGCCCTGCTGGGTGAGTATGACACATTCGCTGAGTGGAACTCATCAAGAGGTACACTTGCTGTTTTCTTGACACAAACCCTGTTGTTAGTTTTCCCCTTACTGGATTATTTTTCTTTCCCTTGTACTTATTGTGAGTTATGGGCAAACTGCTGGTGCTCTTAACTCCAGTTAGGCTAATTTCTTCTTGCTCTTATCCTATTTTTATATGTCTCATGAGAGATCGCTTTGCCTCCTTCAATTTTACAAAGCTAATATGATTGGAAGGCGACTTTAAGTTCAGAGAGAATTATCTTATTCATGTGCATAGTTTTCTTACAGTTTAGGTGCTTTCCCATACGCTGTGGGTTTAACCCTGAGAGGTGGGTAGAGCAGATAGTCTCTTTCCTTCATTGCTAGGAAACTTTGCTGGTTTTTCTCTTCTAGAAAGAGTTGGCTCTGCTACAGTTTGTACTGACATCTTATATTGAAAAATTGTTTTAACAGTATACAGTTATGAATTGATTAATATCAAGGTTTGTTATTTTTTTAAAATTTGGTTTGCATACATTAATTTAGGCCTAGGGTATTTTTAAGCCTCATTATTATCTGATTATTCATTATTGACTCCTTTCTTCAATTTCTGGCTCATACAGTTTGAGCTAGCTAATGATAGGATAGACCAGCTTCTAAGATTCCATATGTAATATTCACCACTTCAATACTGTCACTTAAGGCTCTTGTTAAAATGCAGCCTCTGATTCCCAAGGTCTGGAGCGGGGCCCGAGAGCCTACATTCCTAACAAGGCCCAGATGGTGATGGTGCCAGCACGTAACTTATTTCTGCCTTTCTCTTAACTCAGTTCTTTTTCAGTATTCCTTTCTCTATTTAGATTTTGCCTTCCAAAATTTAGTGGGGAGCATGGGCAGGAGTGGTGGTTAGAAGTAGGTATAAACTGTTTTAGGTTTCCATCTGTCTGTACCCACAGCACTTTGTCACTGAGAAGGCTCTTGCTCCTTAGGTTAGCCTTATAACCTCCCCAAGGATGCTAGGGATTATTTTTCATCTTCATTTTTTCAAATGAAACTGGGGTTCCAGGAGATGAAGCCACTCCCTGAAGTCCTGCTCACTGGAGCCCTCAAACTCTAACCGGCTCGTCAGACACAGCAGCTCTAGTTATTTTCTTTCCATGACACTAACTTCCCTCTGCTGTTATGAGACGAGTTACCTGGGAGGCGAAATGAGGTTTTTTTTTGTTTCCTTCTGAGAACAAGGGCTTCATGCAAAACTTCACTGGCTGATACAGCGACATGCTAGTGCGGTAAAGTGCGTAGGTTTTGAGTTACACTTGGTTTTAACATGTTTTTTAACTTCTCCTAGCTGGGTGACCTTGGGCAAGTTTGCTTAACTTCTAAACTTGAATTTCTCTATAAAATGGGGAAATAATTGTATTCATTCCACACTGAAGATCAAAGGAGAGCATGTGTAGAAATCTGTTGGCTCATTGACTGTCACAAAGTAAATGCTCCATAAGTGTTGATTACCTCTCAGTATTTCTGTTTCCGATGTGGAAATCTGGACCTGGGCTTGGGAAAGCCAGCATAAGGCTCTTCAGACTATCACAGAGTGAGGACTAGTTAGGCTTTGCCACAAAAGACTTGGTTTCTGCAGAGCTTACAGTTTAGGTGCTTCCCGACCCAGCTTCACAGTTACCTGTTTGAGTTCTTTCCTGCCCCAAAGCAAAATTAATTGCTGCCTTATTTCTTTTCCCTACGGTCCTTGGTGTACTCCCCACCTCTGTCCCACGATCACATTTCACAATAGGTCGTCATTTCATCTATCTGTCTCTTCTGAGGAATGGGACTGTGTCTCACTCTGTGTGTTCTTGGCCCTAGCACAGCACCTGCTGCACAGGAGATGAATAGTTCTGGGGTAAGAAATGAGAATACTAGAAAATCATGAAAATTAATGTCTCTGTTATAAAATTTATGTAATTCTTACAAAAATAGCCCTAAAAGCACTCTAAAATAAGAGGGGACAAACCCACTAAAGATTCTAATTATTTAAAATATTTTTATTTTTTATTATCTGAGTCATTTATTCCTGAATTCAGGGAACACCCAATAGCTGTCAGATTGTCCCATCCAAAATGCAAAAGTGATGGGGTGACCCATCCCTAAACATCCTGTGCCTCCTCATTGCCTACAGGCTAAATCCCAGGCTCCTTCGGAAGGCTGTGTAATCTCGTTTTGCCTGACTCTTAGCCACTTTGTCGAAGTTCCAGGGGCACACACACTTCTGGACTATCCCTTCCTGGCCTGTCCCTTCTGCCTTGAAGGCCTTCCTATACTCTTTTCAAATGGTTAATACCACCTCTTTTAGATGTAAGCTCAGATTTCCCTTTTTTTCCTACATCTTTCTTTGACCTCTGCTCCTCTCGAAGGATTTCTCCTTTGTGACTTCTTAATTTCCTGGGAATACCCACGTTCCTATTTTTTTTACTTCAGACACTGCATTACACTTATGTTTACATCTCTCTTTTCTCATGAGACTCTTGAGTCCCTAGCGGGCAAGGATATCTTGCTCATCTTTGTATCTCCAGCACATAAAATGTACTCAAATGTTTGAGTAAATTAAGCCATTGCTTACGAAACTAAAAACCAAAAGTGAGGACAAATGCTTATACATTTTTTTTTTCATTTTTTTCCCATTACCAAGTGAGTCACAGCAGGCTATGTTCTTTTATTTTTCTTAATAATATATTGCTTTTTTTCCCCAAAGCTTGTGAATTTACCAAAAAGCAAAAAAAAAAGGGGATCAAATGTTTACAGACTGTTCAGATTAAGAATGCAAGAGATAAGAACTTGGGCCACTATGGTCACCAGGTATTTACCAGACATGCAGTGACATCTGGAACATGCTCCTCCAGATTTATGTTACTGCCTTTAGAGGTCCCACCTGCCTGATACACCATCTCATGTGATGTACTAGGGTTGATACAGAAGTTTTTTTTGTTTTTGTTTTTGCCTTCCTGCTATAAAAAGGTTCATTTCTGGAAAATAAATTGGTCAATACATTCATTTCGTTCTGCTTCTACCTTACTCAGAGCTCCCTGTTCAACCCTAGTACCTTTCAAGCTGCATTTCCCTTTGTGCCGTTAGTGCTCGGAGTTGCTGCTGTCGGGCTTCTCTGTGCTTTGCTGTAGATTGAGCAAGTTCTGAGCACCAGCGAATGGCCTTCATCTTCTCATTTTCTGCTGCTTTTGCAAGTTGGTCAACAAGCTCAATTAAACCACCCAGTATTTTTCTGAAATTGACCAATTTTGTTCATAAAGCCCTTGCACTTGAGCGCTCTGATCTGCTGAGTAACCCCTGGGTCCAACACCTGCAGCTTGTTCAGCTCATCAAAGTAAAGCCCTGCTTCACCCAGGATGTCCTTGGCCACAGTTACTGACTCCATAGTGGCGGCCCGCAGCGGCCCAGGCTGATGTCGGCGGGCAGCTTTTCTCTGGTCCATGGCAGTGCTACCTGGCTGGCCCACTTCAGCTGCAGCCTCGGCTACAGGACCCGTTTACACATTATGCTGGGCTATGCTGTCTTATTGGGTCAGTCGCCATTCGTCTTTTATGAACTCAGTATTACCTCACTTCCCTCCTTCCCCAGCATAAATCACAGGCAGTCATTTTATCATCATCTTTATCACCATCGGCTCTCATACTGTCAACACCCTGCCCTTCCTTGCTTCATCTTCTTCACTAGGCTAAAAAGAAGGTTGAGTGCAGTTCACCTGTTCCAGGCCTGCACCTGTGCAGCTGGATGTAGTGGGAGGAAACACATGTCTGCCGGCTCTTCAGTTCATGATCAGGAACCTGGTGCGAAGGGGGCTCTTAACGCTGCCAAGCAGTCACACTGCTTCCTCTCTCACTCTGCTAACCCACTGTCATTTTGAACCAAACAATAATTAAAAGAAGCTTTCTGTTATTGAAGTTTCTCAACCAATAAATGCAAAAGGAATCTAATGAATTAATGATCTGGGCATTGAGTATCTGGCTGTTCTCATCACAAAAATAGAGCCTACCAGATATTACATACCTCTTGAGGAAAAACATACCAACACCTCTGAAAATAGTCTTGTTCAAAAAATTAAACCCAAATCAAAAAAGTGTATAGGTGACGTAGAGGACAGAAGAACATGCTAAACTACATATAATGCAATCAGCAAAATCTAGACTGGGAAACTATGGGACAGATGATCCATTTTTTCCCTAAATTCCAAGAGAAAAAAGGATAGAAAGGAAACCGATAGATTAAAAGAAGCAAGACATCCTCTGTACCCCTTCCCCAAGAGAAGCAAACCCCCAAAACAAAACCACAGGGTTGGACAGTTGGGTGATCAAACTCAGTGACTAGTGAGGGGGTAGTTACTTGCGGGTGGGCCGTGTTTTGGAGATGGCTTGTGGAACGTGTCTGGGTTCCACAAGGAGGCTGGTGGCTTGCACCTTGCTGTAACCAGCCTCCTTCACCTGGATCACTGTGGTGGCCTCCTAGCTGTCTCCTTGCGTCTGGCTTGGCCCCACTGCTGGGAATTCTGTTAAAACCTAAGTCAGATCATTAGCACTTCTGTTCCACAATCTCCCATGGCTTCCTACCTCACTCAAAAAAAGCCAAAGCCTCTCCGAGCAAGACCTCTGTGGCTGTAGGTGATCTGCCTCTCTTCTTGTTACTTCTCTGAAACCATTTCTCTCTTTCATTCCTCATCACTCATTCCAGCCACTCCAGCCGCAGTCTCCTTGCCTGCACCTTCTAGGCCTTTGCACTTGCTCTTCTGCCTGCCAGGAACATTCTTCCCCCTGATATGCACTCAGTTATTACCACACTTCCTTCAGGCCTTTACCTAAGTCATCTTCTCAGAGAGGCCTTCGCCTTCTATCCAGTCTAAAATTTCACATTTTCCTTATTTCCTGACATTTCATGTCTCTCTGTCCTGATTTATTTTTGTCCTTAGTGTATATCTCTAAATAACATACTGGATGTTATTCTTTTTAAAAACCTTGTATTTTCCATCTCTTCAAGTACAAAGCTCTTGAGTATTAGCTTTGTGAGGGTAGGGGTTTTTGTCCCATGGCTGATGGCAGCCACTTGAATATTTGTAGAATTGATGCATGTTATAGGGGAATGGTCTAATGACATTAAGATCCTGTTAAGACTCCTAGAATACCTAGCAGGTTAGGAGTAGCCTCAAAAATCCCTGAAGCAGACATTAGAGGAGGTCTACATCTAAGGCTATTAACGTGAACGCCGAGACGATCTTCCAAAGATTAGATCACTCCAGTATTGCCAGCAGAGTGCCATGGAGACTGTTAAGAAATCTAGAGGTAGAGTTCTGAGTCAAACCAGGAAAAGGCTGTCTGTGATTTCTGATGAAAGTATAACTAAATTCTGCTCACCATGCAGCACGTTGTCTAGCAATGAATGGTTAAAGTGGTAGGTCCATGCTTGTAAAATCTAACAACTGGAACATGTTCACAGTATCACACTCAGGACTGTAAATGTCAAAGTGAATTACATACCGTCCTAACCTAATGTCATGGGTCAAGATAAGAAACATTAAGTATAAGCTGCCACTGAAATGTGCTCCTATAACTGTCATCCAGTAGGAGGACAGTGGTCTGGAATCCTGTGAAGATTACACACTGCAGGAGGATGCAAATGAGGAAGAATTTTATGAAAGAATGAAACAAAAATTTAAATTTTAGAATTGACGCTGCCAGAATTAAGCAGGATCACACATGTTATATTGTTACTGCAGTGTGGACGAGGTATTTCAGGGCTGACCGCATGTAGTTGCTTCGCTTTCAGGGTAACTACCAGCTTAGCCTGTCTCAGACGTATTGGTTAAAAAATTAGATCTTTTAGTTCATGGTAAACAACCCACAAGAACAGAGTAATAAAATATTGCCTCATTAATTTTATACACTGCATGTCGAAAGTTAGCATTTAGAGAACATTATCACATGTTCATTTATAGAGCTTTATTTAATACAATGTAATTTCTAAGTTTACCACTTTTTAATAACTATATATATTACATAAATACATATAAATTGGCTGCTTCATAACAGCTTACGCGGAAGTGGACTAGGATTTCTTAATAGCCAATTAATCTCTTCCTTTAGTCTTTTTAAAGATTTAAGCCCAAAAAGTAGCCTTTTCCTATTTTGGTATCTTGTCATCTTCGTAATCATTTGCTCTCAGATTTTTCATTCTTGGATTCCATTTTACTCTGAAACCTACTGACTTGAGGATTGTGAATGAATGAAATACAGTGGTAGACATCCGTGGAGAGTAGGCCAGCTCTGCCTGCAGCATTCGGAGCCTCAGCTTATTGTCATTTGGAGACCTTGCATTTCACAGCTACAACTTCAGCAAACGGCAGGTGTGTCACAGAGGCACGTCAGAGATTCACTCTTACCAGTAGGCCATGCAAAAAAGAGCTGCTGGTCATTATTCTAATCTGTTGTGACTGTCCATGAAGGGCATCATCTTCTGCCGATCAGGTGGAATAGTTAGAGACACGCAACCCTGCCATTTAACTTGACTCTGCTACCTGTTAGTTGTACTGATGTGCACATTACTTTCTCTCTGTCCCACATTCTAGGTGCTCATGTGACTATCACGGATCGAAAGGTAGCTTTAGAATTTCTTAAATCAAATGTTCAAGCCAACTTACCTCTTCATATCCAATCCAAAGCTGTTGTTAAGGAGCTGACTTGGGGACAAAATATGGAGAGTTTTTCACCTGGAGAATTTGACCTGATACTTGGAGCTGATATCATATACTTAGAAGAAACGTTCACAGATCTTCTTCAAACTTTGGAACATCTCTCTAGCAACCAGTCTGTGATTCTTTTAGCTTGCCGAATTCGCTATGAACGGGATAACAACTTCTTAGCGATGCTGGAGAGGCAATTTACTGTGAGTAAGGTTCACTATGATCCTGAAAAAGATGTACATATTTTCAAAGCACAGAAGAGAAACCAGAGGGAGGGCTTATAGTTGGCTGTAATTAGTAAGAATGTTGTCATTACGTGTGTCAATTAAGGCCTTAAACTGAGAATCTAACCATACTTAATGAAATGGCTTTCGGTATAAAAAGTTTAACCAGGGGGTTCAAGGGACAAAGCACATGTGTAGATTTAAAACAAAGCAGCACTTTGTCCCATTGTCGTGACTTTTTAGTCATATTTTACTCTCTCTCAAACTCAATTAAGATTAAAGAGAAGCGTGAGCTTTTTGTTTATGTTGTTTCTGTATCCTGTACTGCTCGCTCGCTCTTGAAAATCAGTTTTCACTGATGATATGATGAAGGACTAGTTGGTATAAGGGTATATTCAAAGCAGTGAGCTTGTTTTCTTTGGTGAGAGGCTAAGTCATGCAAATTATTTTAAACACATTCTAAGATATATTTTTAGCTCATTTTTTCTGATTTTTAAAATATGAAATGAGGTTTAATGTACATCCCTGAGCTGTTAATGCTCTTGAAATCTTTTGTCTACCCATTTAGTTCTTGAATGCTTTTGTTTGAGATTAGGATGTGAGTTTTTTAAGGTATCGTGTTTTTGGGCTTAATTTCAGATTTAGGTATATAAACAAAGGAATAAGTAAAAATAAAGTTTTAGTTACTTTTCGAAAGCATCTAAAATCTTAGATCTCCATTTGCTATGAATATAGGTTATCTTTCAAATTAAAAGCTGTGGTTTTCCCCTTCAGCTTTCCCTTTTCTCAAGTGTTATTTTTGTATTTCTTAGGCTTTCACTTCATGAGAGGTTAGCTCCCCAAGTATAAGCTTCTTCCATATTGTACTTATAACTGCTTATTCAGTGTTTGAATTCCCTAAAAGACTGTAAGCTTCCTGAGGGCCAGGAATGCTTCTGCCTCTTTCATTTTCGCCTCCCCAGTATCTAGTATATCATAACTAAGTATTTGTTGAATGAAAAAGATACATTCCATTTAGAGGTTATTGACCTTTGGGTTAAATAGTGGTTACATTGTTTCATGATTATTTTTGATAGACTTTATGAATGAAGTCACACACACCCACAGCCCCTCCCCACACCTTTTTTCTTTTCCCACAATAAAAAAGCTTCAACAGCTTAAACAAATTTAGACCACAAGAATATTATAATCTCAGTATGGTATTTGATACTAGAGATAGATTTCCTTTGTAAAATATTAGAAACAAGACCTCCCCTTCCCTTTTAGCCTTCTAATGAATATCTTAGATGTGAAAATATCCACTGCATTATTTTCTACACATATTTTACATAGATTTACTTTAGTCAAGGTAAATTAAAAGTTCTGAGCGTTTTCTGATAAATTCACATGAAATAGAAATATCCATAGCTTACGAAATCCATAAAATGTCAGTATTATGCCGTTGAACATGGACAGTCTTTTAAAACAAGTAAAATAAAAGCCCTGTGATATCATCATTGACACTGTAATGAAAGGCCAATCTCATTTAGGTGTGTTATTAGAAATGAATATATTAATGGAGTTCAGCCCTTTTACGTTAAAATCCCTAACGTTGGAGATGGGCATTAAACGGTTTGAGGTCAGGTGAGGTGGGGCGGGGGTGGAGAGCTTCAAGATGCCTAGATGCTCTACCAAGTAAAGTAAATTAGGCTGTTTTACATTTTCATAAAACATTAACTAAGAATACTGCCGCCAGAAGAGGTTGAAGATATTTTTTTCTTGTCCTAATAGAAGAAAATAAAGGCAATAAAAATTTAGCGGAAATAGTTTGGTTGTCTAAGTGAAAATCAAGTGTTTTTTTTAGGCTTTGGGTAAAAAACGTTGTTGCAGGTCAGGTTCCCTGGGGAAGCGGAGATGGAGGTTAGGGTGCAGAAAGTTTAAATGGGACTGCTTTCAAGATCATCTCTGGAGTAAAATTAGCAGGTCTGGGAAAGAGGGGGAAGTTGGGCTGGAATTCAGTCAGGAAGTCCTCAGTGAATTCAGCTGGGATGGCCCTGCAGTTGGGCCATATTAAGGCAAGGGGGTGGGACTTTATATCCCTTGTTAGGTTAGTCATTGGATCCAAGGGACATAACCTTGGGGCGAAGACTATACCTGCAGAGGGACTCAGCCATCGGCCACTAGCCACCATTCCCAGAATCCCAGGAAATGAGTGCTTCAGAGGTGGGAGGATGAGGGTGGGGTGGGAGCTGGGGAGAGAATATATCTGGAGAGCATGCCTGTGTTCACTATAAATGTCAAGTCAACAACGTTGCGACATTTTTCACTTATGTTAAAAGTATTAATTTATCCCATAAACGTGCATTTTAAGTGTGCTCATTTTAGCAACCTAGGATAGAAACCTAGTCTAACCCTAACGTACTAAGCCTCAGTTCTCACATTGCTACTTATTTGAACTTTTATACAGTTAAGTTATCCAGTGGGTAGCAGTAACTTTTTCTCCAATTAAAATCAAATACTGTTGCCAAGGTGCTATGTTAAAATATATGTGTGACATCAGGTTCTGAGAACTACTGCTGTAAAATATGCTGTTTTCTAAGTAACTTACCTCTTAAGGGTATCTTTAGTTCATGAAAGAATTATCTGAAGCCCTCGTACCACCTTCAGGTAGTTTCTAGGAGAACATTTTTTCTTTCATACAAAAGGATAAGAATTCCAGTAGATCAAAATACTTTATCTAAATGGACTGAACCCTAGATTGAAAACTTTCAGGGCAGAATTAACAACATTGTCTGGGATGTTTTATCTTACCAAATACAATTTATGCTCCTAAGGGACAAGGACTGTACCTTATATTTTATATTTCAAGTGTTAACACGGAGCCCTTTTCATAAAGGGAGTTCAATAAACATTTACTCATGAAAACCCTTCCTTTACAGATAAGTTATTTTATTAAATCACTTATTAAAACATCTCATTTCTGTGCTTTATTTCTCCTTGCCCAATGTAAAGGATAAAGTATTAGGGATATCAAAATATAAAGCATACTCTCAGTAACAAAGTTATCATGAACTTAAAAGATTTACCTCCAACATCAGTTCCATTTAATATGTATGCTTTCAGTTTATGGAAGTTGAAAGATAGAAACATTTCCTGTTAATTTTTAAAATAACAAAATTAAAAATTTCAAATACTTTTAAAAATCACCTTTTAATGTACCAGTATTGGTAAAGAGGTCCTAGATATAGGGCCTGACATAATAGTTTGTGAAACAGACATGTGATTTATTTGAGTGTCAGAGAAACGGTCAAAATTCTACAGCTCCCCAGGACCTCTACCAAGACAGAAATAGCCTTTTCAAGTTTTTTAACAAGAATGAGGAGAAGCATTGCAGTGAGTAGTGAGTCCTGTTCTGGGAAACGGGAGACGAGTTCTCAGCACTGACAGCAATCGCATGAAGTCAGGGCAGAGTCCTTTTTAAAATTGAGGATTCATTAGCTCAGAAGTTTCCTTCTGCTCTTAAATCTTATCTTATGCCTTTCTTTGTACAACCAGGGAAGGGTTAAAATTTAACACCTGAAAAGATGGCATACTGAAAAATTAAGTTTCCTTGCTGAGAACAATTGATTAGAAGAGAAAACAGTATTGCAAAGATGAGAAAAGGCAGCCTATCTACTTCATAACCTCGTGTTGAAACTGGTTCTGCTACTTCTAATTTTCTTGCTAAAAAGCAAAATAGACTGTGAAGTGTGACAAAAAATACTGACATTTTTAATTAAGAAGATTCTCAATAATGCTTAGGAAACAACCTCCAAATATGAAATAAGCCATACTTAATCTCCACTTCCCAGTATCTATCCTCGGTATGTATACTAGCTTATTATATATCGATAGTAACTTGTGTGTATTTGATAACAGTCAAAAGTTTCAATCTAAATGTCCATAAAAGAGGGTACTGGTTAAACAAACATATTTATACAGTGGCATGCTACAAACCTGTTAAAGAGGCAGATGCACATACACTGAAATTGAACCACTGCCAAGACACATTCAGTGAAAAAGCACCATTTATGTAAAAAAGGGAGAGGATATACATTACATTTGCGTGTATATGCAGATTGTCACTAAAAGGATACAAAACAAACTACTTTTAATTCTCGCCCATTTGTAGTTTTTTCCAAATGTACACATTACTTAAAAAAAACTAAGTTAAAAAATAATAAGAATGAGGACATTATCACAAAAGCGAAAACCTAATAGAATGGGAGAAAATATTTGCAAATAATATTTGATAAAGGTCTAATATTCAGAATATATGAGGAACTCATAAAACAAAAACCAAGAATTGAGCAAAGGACTTGAACAGACAATTCTCTCAAGAAGATATACAAATGGCCAACAAACACGATAAGATGCTAAACATTAGTCATTAGAAATTGCAAATTAAAATCATAATACTTTACACCCACGAGTAAGGCTATAATTTAAAAAAAAAGCAAAATACCAAGTCTTGGACAGCACGTGGAGAAATTGGAAACCTCATCCATCCCTGGTGGGAATGCAGAATGGTACAGCAGCTGAGGAAGTCTGGCAGTTCCTCAAAAAGTTAAAACAGAATTATCATGTGGCCCAGCAATCCACTCCTAGTTGTAATACCCAAAAGAACTGAAAACAAGGATTCAAATTCTCGTACTTGTTTATAGCAGTACTATTCACAATAGCCAAAAAGTGAAAATGATCTGATTGTCTATCAACAGATGAATAAACAAAATGGTGGCATGCATATACCTACATATATACACAAAAGTGGAGTATTACTCAGCCATAAAAAATGAAATATTGATAAATCCTACAAGGTTACATATTGTGATTCTATTCATATGAAGCTAAATCTACAGAAATATCAGATTGCTGGTTGCCAGGGGCTGGAGGGAGGGGGAAATGATAAGTAACTCTTTGAGTACAAGGTTTTATTTTGGAGTGATGAAATGTTTTGGGAACTAGGTGGTTGGCAGCACAACATTGTGAATGCACTAAATGCCATGGAATTGTTCACTTTAAAATGGTCAATTTTCTTTTGTGACTTGCACCCCCCAACCCAAAACAAACAGAAGTAGTATTCAAACTCCAGGAAGTTACCTTTCCTCTTCCCTTCTTAGGCCATTGGAATTCCAAGCCCCAGTTTGGCCAATGTGCTTAAGATGTGGAGAAACTAACATGCACAATGAGAGGAAGGATAACACTAAGTGCATTTCTGAATTTTTGCCTTAGTTAAGGAGATAGTGGCATCATCTACAATATGGAAAAAAACCAGTTGAACAGATTTAGAGGAGAAATGAAAAGTTCTTTTGGACCTGTGTTACTGAGTGATGATGAATATGGAACTCAGGGCTAAAACTGTATAAACATGTTAGAACTGTTTCCTTGTCTGTGTGTCTTAAGAGTTTTGTGAGGACAGGGACTTTTCTAGTGCCTGGAAGCGTGTCCTCAAAGAGTATCTGTGAAATGAGCAAGTGAAAGCAAAGATATACATGAAGAGAAGATAGACACTTTTATTGGAGGTCCAGCCAAGCACTTGAATGTGGCTTACAAGTAGGGTGATGTGGTTTACACCTGTTGTCCCTATATATCACCCTTTCACTCTCAAAAATGTCTAATTATGTGGTCACTCTTTGTAGAAAAAAATAAAATTCATATAACACAATATTAGGTATAACAGGCTTAATGAATACATCATGACATTGTAAAAGAAGTACTTTAGAATAAATGCAACTATTTTCAGAAAATTGAACCAATAATATAGGAATCTTTTATTCTCATGCATTGAACAAAGAGCAGATTAACCACATTCCTACCCCTTTAGATATGATCAGAGGACTTAAGAATTATAAGGGGACCTGAGAAGTTAACTATTCTTATTCTTCCAATGCAAACATGCATTTTATGACATCAGAGACAGCTGGTCATGTCGCCCATGGTTGTCTCAGTAAGGCAGTAACATCTCCAAATCTTCAAATAGGCACTGTTCAATCTTACTGCACAAAGAAATCTTGTGCTAAAAATTAGGAAGACAGTAAAATTAACTGAAGATACGTTGTTGCTTGAATTAGTTTTTTGTTGCTGTGCAACACAAACTTGTGATATATTCTAACATAACTTTCACTCATTTAACAAAATAAACCTAAGTCCAAGAAAATATAATGTAACACCAGCAAAAAAACAAGATACAGAGATCCCATCCCCAAAAAAGAGACTTACAGAGTTTTTAAAAGCATGTTTATGTGACTGCACATAAATGTGTGTAAAAGGGTATTATGACAGTTGATACCACAAAGATTACAGTAAGAAAAAGCACTTTATGACAATATTCCACAAATTCACAAGGATCACTTTAATATACAAAGCAATGCTACCATTCTGAACACAAAGCAGCTAATATGTACATAGTGTTAATAAAATGCATTATAACTCAGTACGTTTTTTCTCTTTACACAGATAAAGCACAAAAAGATTTAGGAAAAAATTAAAACAGGGATGTTTCTAGAATGTAGGGAATTTTATTAGAAATGTATTTCCCTCATAGTTATTTAGTATTCAACTCCAATAGCAACATCAGAGTTAAAAATCAATACCCTGTTTTGTGCTGATAGTTTTGGGGGGAGGTATTGTTACCCCAGTCTTCAAGGGAAAACCAAAAATGCAAACACGTTTCTCTCTAGAAACTTCCCTGATTATTTTGTTTCTAAAAAGTTTCAAGTGTTACATCTAGGTTAGAAATAATTCTTTTTTGGGGTGGGGACGACAACTGACGTGGACAAATCAGAAGGGGACAACTTTACATGGAAAGCTGCTAACTAGCACTCTTTGCCACCCCTAATAAATCTATACTCACAGAAAAATGTTGACAAATTATTTCCCACTTTTAATATAAATAATTTTATTACATACACAAATTGGAGTGACACCAGGATAAAAATACGTCTATAAAGCATTTACCAATTCAATTTTAAAAACATAAGAAAATAAAACCTTCCCAACACAATGATAGATCATTTCACTTGGCTAACATAAGATCATTATCTGCAGGGATTTTCTTCCTTCCCCACCAATTTTTCAACTATCTCAGATTTACTTTCACATCTCTGAGATGCTCCTCAGACAGAAGCTTGGAAATGCTTCACTTCTGTAGGCAACTACTGATACCTAGATAAAGTAGGTAAACTTTGAATTTCCTACTGTTTGACCTTTTTCAAAGACATTTCCTACAGATTGTTCATTTTCCTTTTCCTTGCTGGTGAGAATTAAAAATGTATCATGTTATATCATGCTAGGACCTGCACCCACAGTACCAGAATGCAAACAGGTCAATATTTCCTCTCTGTGCTAAACAACTTTGCCTGTTTATATTATCAATTTTGCTTCACAGGCTTTGTTCTATTTTTTTTCTATTTTTATTTTTTTAAAAAATAAATTTCAAGCTAAAACACCTGAAATATAATCCCTCCATTCAAACATTACCTGGTCCCTCTTAAAGTATGTCTGCCCCCTGAGGACACATACAAAGGCTTAAGCTACATTCACTAATCATTAAGAACTTATCATAAGCATATGAGACAGTTGGAACTTCAGCACCCTGTTTATTTGAAATTCTTCCATACTGACTCTGCTTCGTGATATGTTCAACCCCTCAGGGATTAGTGCCTTTCCTAGCCATTGATTCTATAAAGTCAAGGAAACCAGTTCCTAGTACATACAGTGACTGTGCAGTCAACTTAAAAAAGCCAACATATCAACATTAAATGTATTCAAGATGTATGTAAGCCACCCAACAAAAAGTTCTAGTTGTGCTTTGTACAACTGAGTGAGCAAATTTATCCCACAACTCTTCACCTACAGGCTAGTTACTGAGCACACTTCACTTTCTCCCTCCTCATCTGAAATCAGTCAGATTTAGGCAGCATTTCTTTGATGTTAACAAAGCCAATTTTAGTGAAATAAATTTAGTCAAAATGATTACATGTGGTCTCCATGATGACAATAATTAATTACCTTGAAAAATCTTTTACCACTCTGGACAAATTCATGAATATCTTGGCATCCTATAGCCAGTATTAATGTTGGGGTGAGGATACAGTCTCATTTAAAATTAGAAATAAATATTTATTTGCTTGAGTTGATTTTCTTCCTATCTATGATGAGAAAGAATAAGGGTTCAGACTCATTAACTAGGCTAGTTAGATCTAATTACCTGATTTTTTTTCTTTTATAACTATTTATAAAGCTAGCCTTTAGGTGTTAAAATATTTTAATCAATGAAAAGTTTTCATTAAAAAAAGTCCCATGATTTGAAGAAAGGAGAAAGACATAAAAAGTCAGTTGACAATTAATTGGTGAGGGAATTTCTCAAGTTGCTAATACCCAAACTGGGTCATTTTTAAAAGTGCAAGTTAAACCAAACATTTACAAAGAATATAATGTAAATATAATCCAAATAAATATACAACTTTTGTATTAAGTCAATGGGAAACAATATACCAACAGTTTTCAGGGCTACAAAGGCAACAAAATAAAGCCTCTTGAAAATAACTGAAAAGGTGTATAACCACTTTCTAAAACCCACTTCAATTCAAAATCTTAACTTTAAGATACAAGCTTTATTTAATCCTGCAAAATGAAGCAATCTTTTTGATTTTCAAAATAAAGAGACCAATTTATGCTGACTGAAGCCAATCACAGAATTTAAAACATATTAAAAATGAAAAGAAGAAATCTAGATTGAAGTCACTTCAAGTAAGTAAAAGCTTCCTGGTTTAAACAAACTTGCTGTTTCTTCCTAAGCCTTTGTATGATTCCACGTTACCCCGAATGGTCAAAATGATAGTAGGGATTAGGCCTGAGAGACAGAGATAACCTTTAGCCAGATGACTTCTGATCAGACAGCCTGCCTGGCTGGTATTGTGCTTTCAGATACTAGCACTGCTGCTGACCTACCATGAAAACACATTTTCTGACAAAATCCCTGCTCAAATGAAAACACCAAATTCCTCCCCAAGGATGATTTTTGAAAAATCAGTGGTACCTTTTACAAGCTATCTTTACAATGTTCTTACCACTGTTATAGCTGCCAGAGACAAAGCATAAAAACTAAATACTTTGGGGGTTGGAGGGGAGTTTTCAAGTGACTAGTAACATACTTAAAAGTATAAAGCCAAAGTAAACTAAGTAAAAAAAGCAAAATACTTGGAAGAAAATTAGAAGACAAAAATTAATCATGAGTGCTGGAGTAATGCAGTCCAAGGAACTACCAAAAGAGATGCAATAGAACACACATAAATGTATATTTTCATCTGACCTCAATATACTATAATACTCAGCATTCCTGACTTAAGAGCTCTCAGAGCTTCAGATTATATACTGTATGTATATATATATATATATGTACACGTATATTATACAAATGCCACCCCGTCCCCAAGAATATCTAAATGAACAGAGCACCTATGACAGTATTATGGTTGCCAATATGGTACTTGAGTTTGATAAAGAATGAACTTAGAACTATATCTGATACCAATTTTTTAATAATGTGAGCACATTGGATCTAGCCCTTTCTAAACCATTTTTCAGTTAAACACTATCAAAGCTTGAAAACTCATAAGAGTAATATATCAAAAATAAACCCCTCCCACTTCATTTTTATTAGTTAATCTGTCCTATAGATAAAAGTGCCACATGGCCCTATATTTGCAAAGTGATACCAAACTATTTTCTAGGCAAATCAGTAGCATATATACAGATTCCTATGATGACATTTTCATTCCCTTTTGGCCAATACCAAGAGAAAAAAACATTACTGGTAATGTGGCCACTTATGTTCTTGGCTACAAGATTTTTTAAATTATGTTGTTTTCTTAATAAAAATTCTCAAAGTTGCATGCTTAAAAACACCTTTCCCCCAATTCTTGTAAAAAAAAAAAAAAGTCTGAACAAAAATGCTTAATTTCTATCTGTATAAACCGAAATCTTCAAGTCTCTCCAAGGGTCTAAAACAGATTTAGTAACAATATATTTATCTCACCATTAAGTAACTGATTCAAATCAGTGCAGATATCCTCAAGGTACAAAGGACCCAGTCTTTATAATTTATAAACCCAACCAGCTAATATGGAAGTGGCTGCCTTGATTTATCAGGGACTCAGAGGACCACCAACTTTTAATTAAATAGAAAGCCCCAACTTTTGAAAAACGTTTATGTTGCTAAATATTAGACAATTTTCATTTATATAAAACATACGACATTCAAAATGTTCACTTTGACATTTTGACTCATAAATAAAGAATTCTGCTTGGTGAACATATTTGTGATTTTGCTTGGTTTCTGTTAAACCAGTTTTGGAAAATGACATATGGTTGGTATACAAATAATTTTTATGCTATAACCTTCCCCATTAGCTCAGCAGGATAAACATCAAACTTTACAGTCGTTTGAAAGCCTTCTTGAGAATCTGGTGAATTGTCCAAATACACTACATCACTCAATTCTTAGAATGATGCTCCTTCATAAACTCTGTTCATCCTTGAAAAAAGACAATGGTTTGTTACAAACAAAAATATACCATTTACAAATATTAATTAAAAATCTTACTTTCAAAATGTACCCAATAATAAAGACCCATCTGTATATTTTAACACATTAACAAAGTAAACTTTAAAAAATAACCCATGACTAAATATAAAAAAATGTTAATTTTCTAGATTCACTTCTAAAGGAAATAACCTTCTCAAATGAGAAATTATATCTAACATTATGTCAGTTTCAATTTTTAAAATCCACTTTAGTCTTACTTTTCTTTTAAAGGGTAACTTTTAGATTTATCAGGCTTAGTGAATAAAATGAATAATTAATAATTAAAAGCAGTACTGGAAACAGTGTATGATACATACAAACAGACTGTTATAGCCAGAAGTTAAAAAAGGTAGCTCCTTTATAGAATGACAAAAGCTATATAGCATATTGGAAAGCATAACTATCCTTTTTAGAACAAAACAAATGTTTTGCAAGAATGATAATCCAAATATTGTAGTACAGCAGTCATTCAAATATGTCTGAAGAAAATTACTTTCCTTGTTATGTCTAATACTATACTTTTCAGAACTATATCCTTACAACTTCTTTCATTACAAAATTCACTAGAGGTACTCTGTTAAAGTATGTTAATGTGGAAAAGATTTAAAATAATTCTACAACACAACATTTTATAAACAAATAGGTCACTTTGTTTCACTTTAACATCTCGAAGGCTTTCCTGTTGGTATAATGTAAGTGCAAATGGGAACAGTTTAATTAGACATATCTTTTTAAGTAAATGAGTGACGATATAAATATTTTTGAAGGCGATGATAAAAACATTTATTTAAAAACCTTGTTATATAACTCAAAGGGTTGATCTGAGTAAAGGGCATCTTTTTACTAAGAATTTAGTACTAACTAAAAACAAGCTTTGTGCTTGTATTTACTTCAATTTAATTTAAAATTAAAATACCATGCTTTTTTTTCATTCAGTTGGTTACTTCTTTTAATGTATTCAAAATGTAGAACACATATATAACTGAATTAAGAAGCAACAACTGCCCTATGGAAGAGCTGTAGTTAATACAGAGTATTTTTAAGAACCAAGGACAAGTTTTCAGTATTGAAGAGAATACATAAAAAGCACTCTGAATTCATTCTTAATTTCTTCAACACCATAAAAATTCTTTTTTAGAGGGTATGTCTTTTAACAATTTTACATAATTCACAATGAAAATGTGAAAACATGTCAATTTGGCAATCACACTTCTTCAGTGCACCTTACTTACTTTATGCATGCGGCCCACACATTACTTCAGCTCAAGAAGCTGGGGTAATTCTGTCCCTAAGGCAATCAAGGCGCTCAGCACAAACCTTGAAATCATTTAAAAAAGATTTTCTTTTCCTCATTTTCCCCATCAATTTACAAGTAAACAAATGATTACTTCTTGAAGAGGGTGGGGATAAAATGCAGAAGTCTCTTCATGATTCCTGGCGCTGAAAATTTCTTGAGGGGAGAAGTGGAGGCAGGTGTTGGAACATTCACAGTTTAATGCAAAAGCACAAATGAAATTCTGTAGTTGCTTTCAGGCAGTTTTGCGCATAGAAAAAAAGAAATGTTTAGAAAATAAAATGTTTATTTCGTCTTTCTGGTGGCCAAGCCAGTCCTTTTTCCACCATAATAGGTGAAATATAAATCCCAAATTAATCTGATTTGTGGCAGTAAAGGTCCTTAAGTGCTTTTAGCTCCTCAATCAGTGTCTTGTTTTGGTTTTCCAGCACTGCCACTCTGTTTTCTAAACATTTCACATATTCTTTCTTCTTTCTACGGCACTCTCGTGCTGCTTCCCTATAAGCAAAAAAGGACAGAAAAAAATCACATAACATTTCTTTATCATTTATTTGGGGTTGGAATACATTTAATTTTTAGAAATTTACCTCAAAGCAACATTTTAATATAGATTTGGCATTAAAAAAATACAGAATGACTTGGAAATTGCCTTATGTAAAATTTTAATTTTAATATACCACACAAGTTTGAGTAAATAAAAAAAACCCATACAACTAAAAGGGTTGAACAATCACTTAAAAATTACAACACTGTTTATTAAATGTTCTGCATCACACCTATAAAACTTGAAGTTCTATCAATATCAGTAACTAAGAAAATATTAAGGTAAATTTTAGTGTGAAAAACATCTTTTAAATAGAAAGATCTTACAAACCCATTTTTCAAGGCTTTAAAAAAAAAATTAAGACAAGTCTCTTCAATAAATGATGTTGAGAAAACTGCAAAAGAATAAAGTTGGACCCTTACATCATATACTAAAGTTAATTAAAAATGGATTAAAGACCTAAATATAAGACCTAAAGCTATATAATTTCTAGAAGAAAACATAGAACCATAGGGGAAAAGCTTCAAGACATTGGATTTGGCAGTGATTTCTTGGCTATGCAATCAAAAGCACAGGCAACAAAAGCAGAAATAAGCAAATGGGGCTACATCAAACTTAAAAACTTCTATGCATCAAAGGACACAATCAACAGAGTGAAAGAGCAAGCTATGGGAATGGAAGAAAATATTTGCAAATCATATACCTGATAAGGAGTTAATATCTAGAATATACAAAGATCTCCCTAAAACTCAGCAAGAAAATAACCCGAGTAAAAAATAAGCAAAGGACTTGAATAAACATTTCTCCAAAGATATACAAATGGCCAACAAGCATATACAAAGATGCTCGATATCAATCTAATCATTAAGAGAAACGCAAATCAACACTACAATAAGGAATCTCCTCATAGCCATTACAGTGACTATTATAAAAAAAATCCTACCAATTAAAAAATGGGCAGAAGACCTAAACAGATATTTCTCCAAAGAGGAAATACAGATGGCCAATAGCCATATGATAAGGTGCTCAAGATGGTCACTAATCATTAGACATGTAAATTAAAACCACGATGAGATATCACCTCACATCTGTCAGAATGGTTACCAATAAATCCAAGAACAAAAAGTGTTGGCGAAGATGTAGAGAAAAGGGAACCCTCATACACTGTTAATGGGATTGCAAATTGGTACAGCCACTATGGAAAACAGTCTGGAGGTTTCTCAAAAAATTAAAACTGAATATATCTTTTGATCCAGCAATTGCACTTCTGGGTATTTATCCAAAGAAAACCAAAACAATAATTTGTTAAGATCTATGCACCCCTATATTCATGGCAGCATAATTTATAATAGCCAAAATATGGAAGCAACCTAAATGCCCATCAACAGACGATTGAATAAAGAAATTATGGTTCATATATACAATAGAATATTACTCAAACATTAAAAAAGTGAAATCTTAACATTTGCAAAGACATGGATGGACCTAGAGGTTATTATGCTGAGTGAAATAAGTCAGACAGAGAAAGATAAATACCATATGATTTCACTTGTATGTGGAATCTAAGGAAAAAAATAAACTAATCAAAAAACAGACTCGTAAATATAAAGGACAATCTGGTGATGGCCAGAGGGAAGGCAGGCTGCGGGGGGAAGGTTGGAGAATGGGGTAAAGGGGTAAAGAAGTACAAATTAGTAATTGATAAATGGTCATGGGGATGGAGAGCATGACATAGGGAATGCAGTTAGCATTAATGTAATGGCCAGGTGGAGAGACAAAGGAGAGAAAGAGAAATCATTCTATAAACTATATAAATGTCTAACACATGTACTATATATTTTAAACTAATAATAATATTAAATTAAAAAAAGAAAAAAAAACCCCGAACAGTTGCACTGTTGGTTAAGAATGTAAAATGGGGCAGCCACTATAAAAAATAGTATTGCAATTCCTCAAAAAATTAAAAATAGAGTTACCATCTAACCCAGCAATCTCACTTTCAGGACTATATCCCAAAGAATTTAGAGCAGGATATCAAAGGGATATTTGCACATCCGTGTTCATAACAGCATTATTTACAATAGCCAAGGAGTAGGTGGAAAGCAATCTGAATATCCATTGACAGATGAATAAATTTTAAAAAGTGGTATATGTATAAATGGAATATTATTCAGCCTTAAAAAGGAAATCCTGTAACAATCTACAACATGGAGGAACCTTCAGGACATTATGCTAAGTAAAATAAGCAGTTACAAAAAGAAATACTGGATGATTCCATTTATATGAAGTATCTAAAATAGTCAAACTTACAAAAACAGAAAGAAGGTGGTGACTGCCTAGGAGTGGAGGGAGGTGGAAATGAGGGAAGTTGTTTATTATGGAGATTAATTTTTGCAAGATGAAAAAGTTCTGGAGATCTGTTGTACAATGTAAATATATGACTGAACTATATACTTAAAAATGCTTAAGATGGTAAACTTTTTTTTACCATAATTAAAAATTAAAAAATCTAATAGGTTAAAAGTAATAAAAATATTACTTGGCAAGCAAGTCTAAACTAATAAACTTTTTTTTTCTTTTTTTTTAGCTCTATGTGGACAAAGGCCACATCTTATTCCTTAATATCTTCATTCACTAGCATAGGGAGAGAGGCACAAGGCAAGTACTTCTTGCTGAATGAACATGAGAGTTGAAGGTAAAAAGCATCTAAGTCTTCAACAGTTAAGAGTAGTATCTTCAGATTCTTAGGTTTACGTGGTTCTATCCCTTAGCAATTATGTGACTATAGGCATATTATTTAACCTTAGTTTTCTGACTAAAAACTGAGATTATCTACCTCAAAAGTATTATGAGGATTAAAGGAATTGATATATGAAAAACACATGATACAGTGGCTGGCATTTTGAAAATGCTACATATGTCTTAGCTGTTATTATTTGTAGATGACTCAAATGGTAGTCTTATAATTCCATTAATATCTTCATCCCCATATAGTCTATCAGTTCAGAGAAAAGGAGCATTTTTTTATAATGTAAGCTGATTTTTGGAATAGAAAACTGCACCCTATGTTGAACTGTCCATGGTAAATATGGGCAATGTATGATCCATGGCATCACTGAAGAAAAACTTTTTTGGAATGGGTTAAAAATGGCACAACATTCTACTGAATAGTGAAGACAAGCCAGGAAGCGCTATGAGGCCAAGAGCGATCTAAAGGACGAAGTGGGAATGACTCAGAGGTCAATTTGAATGTTCTATATGTGGTGAATTCCAATAATATAGAGAGCAGGTAGGATGAATCTAATTTCAGCCAGGGTTGACTGACTAATCTTGTTTCTCTTGATCTCTCCTCTCCATCAGCTGAGAATTTACAGTCTACAAGTGCCCATATGAATGCTATTATCTACATGCTAGTTTACAAAGTTAAGCTAATGGGATCCTATAGGTTGGTACCTCCCAACTTGTTCCACCAAAATCAGTATAGTTGTCCCTCAGCATCTGTGGGGGAACGGTTCCAGCACCCCTGAGGGTACTATGGATACTCAAGTCCCTTATATAAAATGATGTATTTGCATATAACCTAAATAAATGAATACTCAAAATCTATGGATACTCAAGTCTCTTATATAAAATGATGTATTTGCATATAACCTAAATACATCTTCCTATACACTTTAAATCAACTCTATTACTTATAATACTTAATATAATGCAAATTATATGGAAATAGTCATTACACTGTATTGTTTAGGAAAATGACAAGGAAAAAAAAATCTGTACAAGTTCAGTACAGATGCAACCATTGTAGGCCTAACAACAGTACTATATGTAACAATATAACATTTTAGATCTGACGTTGGCGGAATCCACTGATGTGGAATCCACAGATACAGAGGACTGACTGTATACTATAGTATTGTGAAAGATTAAAATGTTTCTCAAAAGAAAAAAGAATGAAACACTGGGCTAAGAAAATTAACTCTTTTCTTTAATGCAAGACCTCTTTGATTCTTTCAATAAAATACACTAATCTCCAATAGGAATTCTATATAGCATGTCTCAAACCAAATTTGACTATATAATACTTTTTTTTGTGAGGTGGGGACCACCAAATAAATTTAAAGTAACACTGTCTTGCAAAATGATGCTCAAGGTTGGCACAGTTTAAAATAAGCAAATTTGGATGCAAATTTAATACAATATGATAGACTAGAAGAATTCTAAATTGATGATCAGGGAACCTGGGTTCAGATCCTGACTTTGACACTAACTAGTTGTGTAGCTTCCAGCGGGGTCCCTTTCCATTAAAGGACTGTTTCCTTATCTCTCTCTCTCTTTTTTTCTTTTTTAAAAAAAGGACTAATCAACATGTTCCACACCAAGACCATTAACTTTGTATTGAGGAGTATGCAAAACCAGCAATTTTAATTGATGGGCTAGAGGGGTGGCAAGCATTTTCATATAAAAATAAGCATTACTGTATTTTGGAGAATACAAAATTCAAATAAACTTTAAACAAAAAAATTTAAAGAACTCCTTGGTTTGGAGAATGCCTCTTAAAACCTCATAATTTCCATCTAAATATTTTTAAGAACAGAAGAAAATGAAAGGACTCTCCTAGTGGACTAGTCTGAGGACATGATGTGAGGATTAAACTGACCTCTGATTTCTCTCTCAGTACAGAAACAGGATTTTATGATTTCAAGCATACATGCAAAGAGATGGCCTATAAATTCTGAAATTAACTTGATAGACATATTTTTAGAAAAAAGTTCTTTCACATAATGTAAACTAGTAATAGAAGAGAGCTTCTTAACGTTATGAAGAACATTTACAAGGAACCTACAGCTATCATCTTATTTATGGTCTCCCATAGATGACTATTAATCTCTGTAACCTGTCAATATGTTACTTGACATGATAAGGGGGGGAATTAAGGTTGTTAATCAGCTGA